ACTAGGAAGTGAAGAGGGACCCATGATGAACAATGACTCTGTTCCCTAGACCATGCCCACCATCCCAGTAGTTAATCTACTCTTCTGCCCACTGAGAAAATTTTTTCTTCACCCCAGACAGCAAGTAGTTGGCAGTGCTCTGAAGTCTCCTGTAAAACAGTAAAAATTATCCTCAGGTCTGTTGTTAAGAAATGCTCTTGCATTTCTGCTGTCCTGATGTTACATGGTGAAAACATTGAGGAACTTTTCTCTTTGGGCTCTTTAGTTTGAACAACTGACTGACAAGAATAATTTTAGTGGGAACTAGGACTTTGACCTGGAAGACAAGCAGTATTCAGGGTATGTCAAAACCAAATGTCCCTTATAACCTATTGCGTTTCTTCTAGCTGCCTCCCTCTTCTTGTGAGTAGTACACTTTTCCCAAATATCTAAGTCCTCATTGTTGTAAATTTACAAGGCTGAGATTTTGTTAATTCTTCTGGTGGGCACAGAGGACATAATTTTATTTACAACAGCCTTTGCATACTGTGAAGCTGCTGTGTCTGGGAGAGGGTGATTTAATATTTGATTATTCCTCTTGTGATTATTATTGTTAAATCCAGTTCTTGGTTACTCCTTTTTATTGTAGATGAGGTGAATGTTAAGATGTTGGAAATGTAAACTTCTGCATCACCCAATTAAACACAGAGGAATAGTAATTTCTAGGGCATGATTCACCTCACTTGAAGGTGGACAACTGAAGGAGCTGAGATGAATCACACTCCAGATGTGTCTCTTTCTCTTCACTCATTATAAAGGAGTCCACATGACTGTCTCGGGTGCTGTGTGGTAGACATCCAAAATTACAGGAGATTAAGTCCCTTTCAAGGTCTTTGCCCGAGTATGTCTGACCGCAGTGCTAAGACTCAGATTTGAAACCAAGAGATGTGAACTTTCTGGAGTGAAGAGCTCCTATGTTGAATTCTCTCAGAAAATAATATTTATCCCGACCTTTCTCTAGTTTGTTATCTCTTGCTGCTGCAGATGTCAGGTTCTGTGTCTGTAGCCCTGCCCTGAAAGAATCAGACAAGCTCCACAGATGCAGCAAAATGTCTTGTAAAATAAATTAAACTGGATCTTTTAATTTTAGGTTCTGAGGTTCTCTCAATGGACCCAGCACGTGCAATGGCTGGAACTTGAATTCTGCCATGCTGCTGCTGTCTTGTTTTCACAGACTGAGCTCTATTTGTGTTTTGGAAGGCCAAGGCTTGCTTGCAGGCTTCCTGGCATTTGGATCCATTTCTTGGGCTAACAGTATGGACCAGGGGCTGGAAAGGACGAGCTAAAAGGGCCTTTCTGGGGGTTGGTCTCTTCTCCCAGGCAACCAACAATAGGACAAGGGGGCATGGGCTCAAGCTCTGCCAGGGGAGGTTTAGGTTAGATGTTAGGAAGAAATTCTTTACAGAGAGGGTAATCAGGCACTGGAACGGCCTGCCCAGAGAGGTGGTGGATTCACCATCCCTGGAGGTTTTTAAAAAGAGATTGGACGTGGCCCTCAGTGCCATGATATAGTAATTGGAGTTGGATCAGGGGTTGGACTTGATGATCTTGGAGGTCTTTTCCAACACAATCTATTCTATGATTCTGTGATTCTTCTATCTGGTGGCATTAGACAGTGAAAACCAGAACTTACAGCCTTTATCCTTGGGTATCAAGAAACACCTTGCAAAGCCACCTCGGTTCCTGACATCCATCTTCCAGATCTTGGTGTTAACAGTAGAAAAAGGCAGAGCACATCCTCCTGCTTTTCTGGCCCTCTGCAAGTCCCTGCCAGCCCTTGCCGCTGGCCAAGCCGTGCTCCTCGGGGCTGGGATTTTGTGCCTCAGGCTTGGAAACGCACTTTTTACAAAGTGGGCCAGGAGGCTCCAAAGCACAATCCCTCTGAAGTTTGGTTTCAGTGACATTGCTGTGGCAGTTCGTGCCCAGAACTGCCTGTGTGTGAAGTGACAGCAAAGTCTATGTCAGCTGAAGCCGAAAAAGCAGAAATATGGCTTCTGCGTAGTAGCTCCATTCCTGGTTCATCATCAGTGAAAAATGGACTAAAATACCCAATGGCATTAACAAAAGGAACGAGTGTCAGGCCAACCTGATTTATTTTTTGACAAGAAAACTGATTTTCTAGGCAAAGAGAATGTATTCTACTTCATTTACTTAGGTAAGCAAAACGCAAAATCAGAGTGAGCCACTGGTGGGAGGTAGCCATGGGAAAAAGGGGAAGATGTTATGTATTACTGCAAGATTTTTCTGACACTGTAATAAATATTTCATGCTGTTTCACAAACCTCTGGTAAGGTCTCTTTGGGAATAGTATTTACAGTTCTGGTCATCTGTATTCAAGAAAGATGCAGGCAAAATAGCTAGCTGCCTAAAAGGGCTGGTGAAATGCTCAGGGGAAGGAACAACTGTCTGCCAGGACAAGGCTTGAAAGAGCAAAAACTTGTTTAACCTGGGAAACCATGGGCTGGGACGAGGAGGGACAGTGTCCATAAATACAGCAGAAGGGAAACACTAGTGAAGGTGGAGAGCTCAGTCCTGGCAGGAGAACAGATGACTGTTAACTGGTCTTGAATATATTGAGGGAGTTTTCATCATCTGTGAAGTCTTCCTTCCTTCCACATCTATCCTGGGGTTCTTTATGGTTTAAACAGATTAAAATTTACGAAAGCATCTAGAAACCTTGATTGGGAGCAACTCAAGGTGTTGTGAGGAAGCACTGGAACATACCGCTATTGGGGCTGAACATTCAGTTGTTGCACTGGAATCAGAAATCAATCATTATAACTGTTAGTTTTCCAGATGTAGCAACCCTTATGTGAAGTGAGGGCCTAGAGCTGGGGTGAACTAAGAGATCCTACACCATCTGGCTTCAGCTACTGCTCATTTGGATAGGATCCTCTGGTGCCCAGCTCCTTGCATCTGTGTCAAAAGCCCAAATGTGAGATAAATCCACGCTAATGCAGTAGATGTCCTCTGTCCTCCACGATAAGTTCAGCACATCGATGAGGTCCATTGCTTGACTTTTCAATGAGAGCTTGTTATTAACCTGTGCCTTCGTTTTCTGTCTGCTATCAGGTGATCTTGTGAGGCTTGTGTGTAGAAAACCCCTGTATGGTATATGAAGAAGCCATGTTTCTTCTACAGCTGATTTTGAATTAGAAAGGATGATTTGTCAAAATGGAAGTAGGAAGAACATTCTTTTACTTTGTCTACTGCAGGAGCAAGAGGTCGCTGATTAGATACATCTTGGCTTTGAGGATGAAAGGCACTAAGTGTCAAGTTATGCTGTCTCAGATCTTGCTGCTTTATGTACAGCTGACTAATAATTGAAGAACTGAGACTGCAACTGTAGTTGTCACAAACCTAAGGAGCTTGATTTCTTAAAGGAAAGTCAGTTCAAGGAAAACAGTAAATCGTGTCCTTTAATCTGTTGACTGAATTGCCTGTAGGAACTTGAATACTCTTACATGTTTATGCTGGGAAGCCTGCAGCAGTGCTAGAAGGTTTACTGCAAGTTCTGACTGTGCAGGTGGTGGTTAACAGGCATTTTGGTAAGCCAGGCTTACAAAAGAGCTGTTAAGAGCACTCTAACCATTCCCAGTGCTTCTGCACTTCCATAACTGCCGCGGCGGGTTTTTGTCTTTCTGTTTTGTATTGCTTTGCCTAAATGGAAGGGATATCTGTGGCTGGTAAAATCTTGCCATGTGCAAGGGCTGTCTGTAATGGTTGCAGCACTAAGCTCTTTCTTTGCGAGCTCAAATTCTGATTTGGAGTGCACATTCAGTGAGTCTCAGACGGCAGAATTAATGACCAAGGTTCAGGATGGCTCTGACAAGCTAATAAGCATATGGGTAAAGTCTATATTTGCTAGGGCAGTCATACTGTTCCATGCAGAGTTCCTGCAGTGGATGAAACGTAAACACAATTTATTATTCTGTTAAAAAATACCTGACTATCATTCAGAGGAGCAGCAGGTGTCCCAGGTGTGGATGGATGATTTGTCTTGTGGATGCACAAGCATCAGAGTTCAGATGAGTCCTTCCCACAAGCATTAAGCAAGAGTTTTATATATATAAAACTAGGTGGCTCGCGATGAAAATGAGGTCCAGTTAGGTCCTTGCTGTGGTCCGGGTCCAGCTCTAAGGCAACTGTGTGCTCCACATGGGGAGACATTCAGTAGGTCCTGTGGGACCCCAGTCTGACCTCACTCCAGTTTCCAGTGGGCAGGTACCTGCACCCTGAAGGCTGTCACAGCAGCCAGTGCTGGCAGGGTGAGGTTTGACTGTGCCATGAAGCTGGGCTGTGCTCCAGGGCAGGTCTGGAACAGGTCAGCAGGGTGCTACCCTGCCCTTCTTACCTCTGTAGTTTGAAGATTTCAAAAGCAAGGGATGTCAGTACGTCACCAGCACTAAACAAATACTGAACTCTCTGTTTAAAATAAAGTGTTCTTCTAAATATGTTTGCAAGCTTTGCTTGGATTTGCATGGAAAGCCTTCTGAGCCTCGAGCTGACCTTTGATCCTTTAACTGAGCAAACTTGCTCTGAAACAAAAATTCCTTTGCAGGACACCATCGCCTTGTTTTGCCATTTTTGGGAACTCTCACCTATACTTTCTGCTAACTGAATTGTACTTGAAAGCCATGTACCTTGAGAGATGTGCATGCTCATAAACACGGCGTGGTGGTGGTGGCAGGGGAGGTGTTGCTTTTCCCATGTGTAGGACTTGGGAGGTGCTGAACATCCGTACGTGGTGCTCGCTTGCATGGCACGGTTGGGAGCAGAACAGCGGTCTGTAGAAATGGTCACAGACTGGATTACATCACATGAGGGTGAAATTATTTCCGACTGGAATGGAGGGAAAATGTTTTACTTTGGCTGAGCGCTTTTTTTCTGTGCTGCTGCTGTGCATGTGCTTGCGTCGGGGAACCGAGCTTTTATTGACTGCTGGTTTTCTGTTTTCAAAGCTGATCAGTGGTGGTTCTATTGTAAGTGCTGAGGCAGTATGGGATCACGTCACCATGGCCAACCGGGAGTTGGCGTTTAAAGCAGGAGACGTTATCAAGGTCCTGGATGCTTCCAACAAGGACTGGTGGTGGGGTCAGATCGATGATGAAGAAGGATGGTTTCCCGCCAGCTTCGTGAGGGTGAGTGACTTTCTTCTTTTTACCACTACAATGAATCGATGCCGATGATGCTCAGAACAGTCAATGAACTGGACTGGTTACTGGGTTTGTTATCATTGATGGCTTATTTCCCGTGTGTCTGTTTTCTGTCTGAAAACTGGGAGAGCAAAGAAGGTTTCAAAAGAAATGAGAGTGGGGTAGAGGGAGACTGGGATAGCCGTTGGCTCTGCTTTTTATGCTCTTGGGATATGGAGTGGCCTTTGCTGTGTGTCTCAGCTTATTGTAGCCTCTCTCCTTAAGCAGTTCTTTGGAAAACCAGTTAAGTATTATGCAGGCTATGAGAAGATGATTTGGTGGGGCTTAAGAGTTCACACCAGCTGCAAGCAACCCACATTCAGAAGAGCTTTCTGGTCTGCGTGTCACACAGGGAGGTGTCAGCCCTTCCCTTTCCAAACGCGGTGCTGTGTTTTGACTCTTCAGCAGTTTTGGATGTAAAATTACTTCACTAATTAGTCTGTGACCAGCTCTGGTTATGCTTTTTAAGGGGACAAGGAACCATTTTGTCTGTCTCTGTTTTTCTGCTGAAGCAGGTTTCGCTGTACCCAACCACCTCCAGTGGTGATCTGGCCTTCCAGAAATAAGAAGGATTTGACCACTTGATTTTTTTTTTTGCTCAATATCTGTTAAGAAAGCAAAGGGACAAGAAGATGCCCTTTTTGCTATCGTCAGCTCCTGCCACATTATTTGGGTGCTCTTGAGCCTTCTTCAGGGAGTCAAGACATTGGCTTTGACCTTGTGCACTTCCTCCTCCTCTCCCTTCTGCGCAAGGTTCAATAGGCAGGATCAGAGATTTAATTCCTTTAGAAGCTTAATGGATATGGTTCACAAAATGAAGATTTTTTTTTTTTTTGCCTTGTAAAATTGTGTGAAAGATGACTCTTTCCTTTGAGCCTCCCAGGCAATTTGACAAGCTCCGTGGCAGTCGAGGAGAAGACTGTTGTCTCTGAAACACACAACGAGGACCATGCCACATCCCAAGGAGATGCCATGTTTGCTTTGCTTCTCTGCCTGTTTTACCCTCCCTCTTTTGGGCAACCCTGCATCATCAGCATCCCTCTTTGATTCCATCACTTCATCTGGGAAATAGCCATACAGATTAAGAAAATTGGCTTAAAATGTATGACCTGATGTTTCCTAGCGATGTACAATAACCACCAACAAGGGAACCCAGACCTTTGCTTGCTTCTGCTGCCCCAGTGCACCATCTTTTTTTCCCCTGTGGGACACATGATACAGCTCTCGTGTCTGTCCTAAGTCTGGCCAGTGCTAAGAGCAAGAGATTAGTGACTGGAACTGGAGTCTGAGCTGCCTGTGTGAAAAAGTTTATGCTGTTATTCTGGCCCAGAATAACAAGTAGGGTTTAGTATTTTGTTGAATAGGACACTGTAAGTCTGACCCTGCAGCCAGTGGAGATAATGAGTTTGGAAAATGGATTTGCATCAGATGTGATCAAGATGATAATCTTACTGCAGAAAATATTCTCACCTGTGTTGCTAGCACATCTCTTCTGTGTTGCTGGCTGAAAGGCTGAATTAGAAAAATCTGTCTGATTCTTTTTGTTTAATTTGTAGACTGAAATATTCTGGGCCAGTTTAACTCTTCAGTGCACTGACCAGTGCTCTTTTGGTTTGTGATTCAGGAGAGAAGATTTAATATCCTTTTTTGTGTGATGCCATAAACATACTGTTCATGGTAGGTTTAATAACAGTCTTGTTTTGTGCTCTCCTGTTTTCTTTAAAAAACACCCAAACAACTAAACAAAAAGCTCATTTACTCTAGGCCCAAAACCATGGATCATTCAGCTTGGCTGAACTTTCCACCTTTCCCTTCTCTTTTCAAAGGCTGGGAGGATGATTTTAGAAGCTGGGAAAAACAAAGGAGAGGAATCAATGAATCTCAGACTGTTGTACATAAATGTCTGAACAACATCCTGGAACAAACCTTGGTGCTTAGGATCATGGTGGCCTTAGCAGGCAAGTTTCTTGCCCATTCTGTCTAATGTCACAACCCCGCAGCTTGAGTTTACTCCAGCAAAACCAGTCCTTCCATCAGCTCTGCAAGAGGCCAGCTCGGTTATTCCATCTGTGAGACACTTGTTCAGCGCAGGCTGGGACCAGACACCTGCCTTGGGACCAAATGATGCATTCCCAAAGGGGCAAAGGTTTTGCTGCCACGAATGATAATTAATATTTAAAAATAAGTACCGGGCCTTTCAAAAAATAGGCAAATGGAGTTCTGGCTTCGTGTGTCTGCAGCTCTGCAAGGGAGGCTGAAGGGGAAAATTCGCCACTCAGATTTACAAAACAGAGCTGCCTTCTCCATGCAGCACTCCACGAGGCAGCCCACTCACTGGTTGTCCTGAGCTGAGAAAACAACTGCCATTTGGGCTGTCATGTTCTCCTCTCCTCTGTTGGCTGAGGTCACTCGCTTGCCTCTTCATTTCTATTCTTGCATATTCTCCCCACCTCCTTCACTCTCGGTCTTTCTGGGTAAGTGATTTGAACCAGATGCCTGCAGAGCCTTTGGGACCTTTAGAGAAGGTGCCTAAAGGAACCCCTCTTTTGCTTGCAGGACTATTGTGGCAGGTTTATGCTCCTTCAGGATCCTGGCAAGGACCGTTTAACCTGAAGACTTTTCACTTTGCTCTTTTCTCATTTTTTTTCTTGTATTTCTTATTAATCTGATCATAACTTTTTCATAATGAGGGGGCTGAGGTTTTTTTCTCTGTTGTACTTTGAGCCTTGCTTTTTTAAGACGATGCCAGAAAACTGCCTGATTTAGCCTGGGTGGTTCTAGTTTTACTTGCAAAATAATTGCTTTCCTGGTATATTTCTCTTATGCAAGTACAGGAAGAAAAGGGAACAACATGTTGCAAAGCAGAGGATGAAAAGCAGTTCAAGTAAAGGTTGACAGGACAGACCAGACAGGTATAAAACCAAATAGGATTAATTTCAGGATTTTTTAGACTGCAGGTCTCTTGTAGGTACTAGCAGGAGGTACAGCAGAAGATCACTGCAAAGTCACATTCCTCTCAAAGTCATTTAAATCACTTCTGAGGACAGAACTGGGCTGGAAACCTAGTTTACAATGAGACGTCTGACGCTTCTTGCTCTACAGCCAGATCATATGAAAGTCTTTGGCAAAGCATTTGGCACTCACAAAATCTCGTAGCAGGAAAAATTCACATTTGCAAGTGCAGAGGAAAACAGTTAACCTGCTGATTCCCTTGGCCTCTTTTCCACGCATGGCTGGGGCAGTTGCAAACAAAAACTGCACTTGAATTGCCTGCATGTACAGGAATTGTTTTCTCCATGCATGACACTTGCAGTTATCCTCTTAGGAGCTTGAGACTTGGCTAAAAGAAAGGGGGAGAGAGGAAAGGCATAGAATTTTGGGAGCACAAGAAATTTCGAGGAGAAACTGGATGATAAAGCCATGTTTTTGGGGGAAGAGTAACAGCACAATGTAGGAAAGGTAAAATATGGAACTAGTAAGCAATGGTGAATGGTTTCCTGCAGGAAGCTGCTGCACTCAGAGAAAAAGTTATGAAAACCCCTGAATCACTAGAGAGGCAGATGAAAACTCCAGAGCTAGGTTTAAGGCTGAATAATGATCTGGGTTTAGGACAGATGAAGGCATCCATGTTCTATTTTAGTGCATGTTATCAAGTGAGCATGGTGGACAACCCCAGGGTGCAACCCTCAGTCTTGTGAATAGCTGCACGGTGCCTTTGAATGTCCCATCAACTTTTAGGAGTCTGAGAGGGTGGCAGGTACAACTGG